GACCATCATTTCAGAGTGTGCCCTTTGAGAGTGAGATGTTGTGAGGGAGTCACCCAAGGTGTTCCTTTTACAACATACTTATTACCAGTTTTCACAAAATTCTTCCCTTTCTCTCTAGTTAAGACTATATCTACTGCCCCCAGCTGTTTAATGGTAATTTGGATCAAGTTAGAGTATAAAATAAGTCTGTTATATGACTAGAACTAGTAGAAACTCAGATTTAAATCAAGTCATAAATTGTAGAATAAAAAGGTTATAAATAAAAGTTAATTACAACTTGTCTAAAATATATTGAGTCCTCTCTTAAAATCATTACATAGTTTCTATATATCACATAATTTAATTCTACTTTAATAAATCTTACACAATATTAACACTACTGTTAAAATCATTACCTAGTTTCTATATATCACATAATTTAATTCTACTTTAAAAATCTTACACAATATTAACACTACTGTTAAAATCCTGGTCTTTAACATTATTGATTTATAAACTCTACAAGAGGAAACAACAATAATTGGAAGTTTGCTCTGATTTACCATTGAATGTTCTGTGGTGTGCCTTTTATTTTGCTCCCAGAATAATCCATGAATAGAATTTTCAAATGCAAATTACATTAGTATTTATTAAGCTTGATTGTGTATGCAGTTATTAGTTTGATATATGCAAGATTTAGTTTGAAAAATAGAAACTGTATGGTATGGTCTTGTGAAACATTGCAAACAATTGTAAAGAGAATTTTATGTTTTTTTTCAAAAGGGTTCACCTCCTTTTTTCTCATAAAGGTGACTTCACCTTTATTTTGGTCAATGATTTTCAAACTATAGATTGCCTTATCTAAAAGATAACCATAAAGGAAAGGGACATCTGTTTTTTATAAAGAAATTTATCTTAGTTTACAGGGCAATTAATTATATCTAAACATCTCTTAAACCCACTTGACCACACCTCCACCAGCACACCTTCTGTCACTGTCTCTTTTCTATATCATAGATTACCTCCCTTTAACCACCATAAACTCCAGTTAACTTGTACTGGGTCTTTTACTTTGATTGAACTGATATGAGCCTTGTAGAACATAACTGATCACTTCACAAGGAGGGCATTTTTTATATATTTTACATTGACTTTTAGACATTGGTTGTGTTGTGCTTGTGTCAAGCTGCCTCTCGTTTTATATTGCTACTAAATATGAAAATTGAAATGAGATTTATTAGTCCAAAACAGTTTTGACTTAATGAGGAGATTTTTTTATGATATATATAGATAACATTGACTTCAAGTCATTGGTTGTGTTATACTTGGTGCTTAAAAGGGGTCCTAAATAACTCAGATTAAATAAATGTTCTTTCCTTATATTGAAGAACTTGAAAATGCATTCTGGTGCAAGTGTTTTTTGTGAAGAGCAATGGTATTGAATGCAATTCTAGCAGATGACAATTCAACAGGCTATACTGACTTCGCCCTTAAACTGCCTTACCCAGCAGCCAACTGTTTGATGAGCCATGTTGGCAGCATAAATTGAACTTATGAAATTATATAGATTGAAAAAAAATGCTTATAAACAACATACAGTATATCTAGCCTTTTTTTTTAAAAAAAAAAACCTCCCATTTTAAAGTATTTCCTGTTATTAACCTATGTAAGATCAGATAGCAAAATCTATAAACTTTATAACTGTTATCAGCGTGCTTACATCCCAATTATTTTAACTTTTCCTCCTTAAATTTTGGAGACAGGTGGAATATATACAGTTTGTCCCTATCTTTTTGCCATTGGGTAAATTTATATAGTAGGTGATATAATTACAGAGTAGGGAGTCTTTAACATATAACAGGTGTAAAGTGAAAGTCTGCATGGGAAATGAAGGAAGGACATAAAATTGTAATTAAAGGGAAGTTTGTCCACATGTATGCCTCATAGAAATTAAGCAGTCTCAAGGCCATTATTATTTCAGAATTAGGATGATTTTATTGTCAATAGATGTTTTAGGGCTATAAGCAAAAGTAGGTTTCAGGTTGCAAAGTTATTATTTTTCATTCAATTTTAGATTGAATAGATATAAAATGCTTTATGATTAATTAATTACAATTATTCTCTTTGAAGTTGAACTATTGTTAGAAAGTGATGGAAACAGAATTTAATTCACACCACTAAATTTGTCACATGCCTAATACCAATACATAGTGAAATGGTTAGATCTAAATGAACATTGGAAAACAAAGCAGTCTGAAATTCAACCATTGAGGAGAAACCTCAATGCAATCTTGACATAATCCATGGGAATGTTTGATGAATTCCAATCATAAGATTTAGTAGAGGTACATCAATGCAATCTGTATATAATCCAGATGAATGTTTGATAAATTTCAATTATAAGATTTAGAGGAGTAACATCAATGCAGTCTGTACATAATCCACATGTATGTTTGATGAATGCCAATCACCATAAGTTTTGAAGAATAACATCAATGAAATCTGTATATAATCCACATGAATGTTTGATGAATTCCAATCACCATAAGTTTTGAGAAATAATATCAATGCAATCTATATATAATCCACATGAATGTTTGATGAATTCCAATCATAAGATTTAGTGGAGTAACATAAATGCAGTCTGTATTTAATCCTCTTGAATGTTTGATAAATATCAATCATAAGATTTAGAGGAGTAACATAAATGCAGTCTGTCATAAGATTTAGAGGAGTAACATAAATGCAGTCTGTATATAATCCAGATGAATGTTTGATAAATTCCAATCATAAGGTTTAGTAGAGGTACATTAATGCAATTTGTACTTAAACCGGATGAATGTTTGATGAATTCCAATCACCATAAGTTTTGAGAAATAACATCAGCACAATCTGAATATAATCAACATGAATGTTTGTTTTAGAGATGCAACATCAATATAATCTGAACATAATCTAGATGAATGTTTGATGAATTCCAATCATGAAGTTTCTGGGAGTTACTTCCAATAATTTCTATCGTGATAATGTTTACAGGAGAAAGATCAATGCAATCTGAATATAATCCAGATGAATGTTTGATGAATTCCAATCATCATAGGTTTTAGAGGAGAAAGATCAATGCAATCTGAATATAATCCAGATGAATGTTTGATGAATTGCAATCATTAAAAGTTTTTGAGGAGTAACATCAATACATTCTGAATATAATCCAGATGAATGTTTGAAGAATTCCAATCATCATAAGTTTTAGAGGATAAAGATCAATACATATATATATATATGTATATTATCCTGAAGAATGTTTGAATAAATTGCAATCTTGCATTGTTTTGGAATTTAATTTAGTATGTACATAATGCATTATATTTTTGGATGAATTCTTATATATTTATTTCTAAATTTCAAGATAAAGTATTTCTATTCTGGGTCTTGCTTGATAAATTAAGATAAATCAACACTATCTGGAAATTTTATGAGTTAAAAGTAAACATTTAGTTATAGTGATTTAAATTGAGAATTGAAGACATAATTATCGGCTTGTGATAAATTATCAGTGATAAAATATATTTTATTAAATATACTAATTGCAATTAGAAATTGGACCCCTTCTATGCATGATCAACCTATATCCTCCTTGCACCTCTTAGGTCAATATCATTTCCTACTTTTAACCCATACATAATGGATTTTCTTTAATGGATATTAACTTGGTGTTAAAATGTTTAGTGTAGAGTTAAAGGGTTAAATTGTTTTGTCTGGATAATAATGAAGGAGGTTTAAAGATAGATTGTTCTGAATTTACTTTAAGATAATCTCATTAAAATTCAGCTAAACACCCATAAACACTAATTTGGTGGAAAGACTTCAAACAAAATTCACTTTACATTTTGGTTGTAAAATGAAAGCTCCATTACTTATATCCTTACAACCATATAACCTACTCTCTTTTCAATATTGTATCAGTGTAGGATTCATGCATCATAAATCGAGATAATTTGGTGAGAAATACAGATTTATAGGTTTTTCAATCTCTGGGAAACAGGATGTTGAGCATGGATATTATTATCCAAGCTTTATATCAAATGAAGTTTGTTTGATTTTAATACCTCCTGGTTATTTGTGCATAGTGGAAAATGTACTTTGAATTTAAAATCCCAATGCTCAGAAAAAAAAAATTAGAAAGATTAAATAATTTGGACAAATCTTGAATTTATAAAAAGAAATTGCATTATAACTTTTCCTCAAACTTTAGAGGATTGTTTATGATTTTGAGGATCAATTTGTATTGATAAGATTATCAAAAATAACACCTAGGATTGGGTCTAGACACCTTTCACTTTGTAACCAGATTCAGTCAGATTTAAATCAAGTTTAATAAAGGGTTTCAATAAATCACACCTTGACACTAAAACATGTAAAATACTGATTATGAAAAATCTTTTGTATAATAATCAATTCACTGTTATAATTTAATGTCTAATAAGATTTAGTGTTAAAAGATAATTTCAATGTGACAAGTTTAATCTTATTCAAAATTTTTAGCATATAAATGGCTGTACTTGACTTTGAGTGGGTATAAATAAGCTAAGGATTAATCAGAATAACTTAATGTGACCACATTTAAAATTCATTAGTATATTATAATAAAAAATAAGGCCTTAACACTAATCCTTGTCTCATGCCTTGACCATTTTATAAGTTTTAATCAAAACTTAGTGCCAATCATCATGTTTAAAGAAAATATATGCTATGATGATATCTGAGAAATATTTTGCTTTATTTGAAAATGACAATATTAATATAATTTCAAAATGGAAATTTAAGATATGTTCTGATACTACGAAAATGGAAATTCTAAAACTGTCTCTTTTGTTTGTTATACATATGTAAAAGTCAAATTCTATGATCTAAGCCAGTATTTTTAATGAAATGATTTTTTTTATTTAAGTATCCAATAGATTAAGTATTATTGTCTTTTGACACTTATGAATAATATCATCACATTTTGTATCTTCCAGAGAGAGGAGGCTGAATGGATTGGCCTACCATCATCAGAAGCTGTTAAAAAAGCTGTCAAAGAATATGAAGATAAGCAAGAAGTGGTTCCACTGAAAGAGCTGTTTATTCAACAGTTACTTGAAGCAGGTGATTTAAACGTTTTTGAACCAGCATTTGTATTCAAGGACCCACCCCACACAATTTCACCATTGTTATTCATTTCTTAAAAGTCTTAATCCTGTTGCATGATATGATCTATTGGTTGGATTTAACTTAAAATAATTTAGTATAGAAGATTCTTGCTAAATATCACATACTTGAATTCTCAAGACATACTTTAACATATATTATAGCTGATTTCTAAATATAGGATATATTCACTTATTTAGTGTTCATTTCAGAATCAGCTGAGAGTCAATCAGAAGAATTTGAACCAAGAGGAGAGTAAGTAAACTAATTTTAAGAATTTTTCTATTAAATTTTTGGGGTGTTTTTCATATTGGTGATGGATACATTTGATTTTTATTTAAAACTTTGAAAATAGTTATGTTTTTATCATACATGGGATCCATTGAACAATATGGAAGTGATAATGAAATATTGTGATATCTTTTGGCCTATATAGATACATTTGATAGTAATTATTATTATGATAACTTTAAGTCTTTGAAGTAGGTTCTCCAGCTAGGGACTTAACTGAAATCTTGATATAGAGTTTTAATATATGGAACCTTATGGAAGTAATAATGATATCATATAAGTACATGCACACTTGATAGTAATCATTTAAATTATAACTTTAAGTCTTTGAAGTAGGCTCTCCTGCTAGGGACTTAACTGAAATCTTGTTACTGAGTTTATATTGGAAGTTAAATTTAATTATATGTAAATAGAAGTAATATGAGATAATGTTTAGTAAGCAAATCATTATCGTTTTTGATTAATTGTTACCATTTACTACATATGCACCAAATATCTGTTAAAAATCTCTATTCTATTTATCCCAAGTGGGATATGTAGAAACTTGTTGAGATTGTCTCACTACTTGAGATCAATTCAATCATAGGGAGATATTGTTGATAACAGAAGTATCATATTCTTTCTTTAAGTTGTAATAAAAAATCATAAAATGGCATTTCATATACACATACGAATTGTTTTGTTTTATATGGGCTGAGGGATGATGGCTTTATGTTGGATGAAGGATTGTTTTGACATGTTTTGTTCAATATTGGGTTGTTTCATATATTTTCACTGTTTATGTTCTGTTCAATTTCTGTTCATTTTTCCTTTTCAGTGAATCCTGGTTAAAGAAAATTACTCATTCGGAAACAAAAGAACAATGAGATTATCATAATTAATCCTATATATTTTCAAAATTTTGTATTAAAGCGTCTTCAGTAAGGATTGAAATGTGATTTCAAATTGTGCCCTTAGCACAAACTGAGAAAAAACAATATCATGTTGTGAACATTTTTTAATAAAGAATAGTCAGATATATGTGCTAATTATTTTCCAAAAGTAAATAGGCCCTGGATATCCTGAATTTCAACCACAATTCAAACTTGGTTAAAATGAAGGTCAATACAAATACTTTTGTATGCTTTGAAGTATATATTTATCAATATTCAGATACAGGTCAATGCTCTTTCAGATCAGAAAAGGATAATTTTACTTAAAAGTGTTATTATTCTTTAGGTATTACTAATAAAACTATCTAAATATTTAATTAAACCTGAAGTACTAAATCAGAGTTCAGAAACAGAATTTGAATTTAAGCTCTGGTACAATAATTATGATTTGATGTGCATAAAAGCAAAACCTTATCTACCCTAGAACAGGGAAAAGAACATTGTTTTGAAATTTGAAATAGATATCATGAAAAGAAGGGATCACAGAGGCACCCCTTGTCTTACACCATTTTAAGGAATTGTTTTACATCATTATATACATGAATTGGAATACAACCAACATTTTATCTGGATGTAAAGAGGAGAAACTATTCTGGAATAATTTCAAATAAATTTTTGGCACTATATTACATTAAAGCTATTTGGCCATGTGAAACTCTAGTCAAAAATGTAAATCACAAAATGCTACAAATACTTTAAATGATTCAACAGAATAGAGAAAGCGCTTTCACTCATTCACCCATTCTCCATGTGTCATTTAACTAAACCAATAAATATTCCAAATAATTACATTTAATACCTCAAATTTTTAAAACGTTTCATATTCCCATGAACATTTCTGCAATGAATCAAAAGAGAACCTGGTTTTAATTTCCGCCTTCAAGTAGTTACTGGACAATTTATTTTATTTTAATAGTTTTAATGTGCTTACACTTTGACCTGCTTTTACTTGAAACTACATTTTTCTAACCAATTATCAAAATTTGATGTCTAAATTAAAGGATAATTTCTTATTTGAACATTTGAAGTAATTCCAATTTTTACAATTAGACTGAAGTTGGAATGTATGAAATCATAAAAGAACCTGAACGAAATTCTAAATTGACTGTTTTATTAGTTTTTAATAGACATCATGAAAGGAAGGGGTCACGGATTCAATCCCTCTCTTAAACCCTTATGCGGAATTTCTAGGAAAACTCACATATATAATTATTATTGAAAATAAATAGTTTAGGAGTGGTATATGATGTAAGTTTTAGTTTTCCACAATATTTAGGACTGTTGAAACCAGTTTTTGATTAGTTTCTGTAAATAGACTTTCAAGCACATTCAATAGACTTCCTCAAAATGATTATTTACTTTCGACAGTTATCTTGGAGCAAATCTAATATATATGCGAATATTGCTGAACAACACTCGAATGTGTCGCGAACCTAATAAAACTGAGTGTTTTTCCCCTTTTCAAATGGTGAGAAAAGTGTGACAATCGTGTGTCTTTAACTCAGCTGGAAATCAGTAAATTATAATGGTTAGTTTTAGTCTTAATGTTGTTAGAGTAGTCGACACAGTGGGGAATGTCTAACAGGTTTTTTCTGTTGTTTTCTTTTGTCTTTTTTAAAATGTATTTTGGTAAGTGGATATTTCATCGTCTCAAAAATGTTGAAAAACGTCTTTTAGTCTAGAAATAAAATACTTGAATAACTGATCAATATATACATATATATTACACCCCGGTAGTCCTTTTAGTCTTGACACATTCATATTGATATGAAAGAATTTCAATTTCCCACTTGTATTAATCATGTATATGATTGACTTCGTACACATTTGAATTTTAATTAATATCTTATTTTTGATGCACATAGGATAGATCTATGTGTTAAAGCCTCGGTGGGAAGTGATAACAGGTGTTCCACAGATACATTTTAAGGAGTCACATTTCACGTGGAGAGTCTGAATCGCAAAATGTGACGTTTTAGAAAATTTTGTATAATTTGTGGCACCTTGTCGTGTGACATGACGTCATAAGGTGAAAATATCTGTAGGTGAAATAACAAGATATTAATCTTACGGATAATTCTGTTAATCTGAATAATGTAATTAACAATACTATTACATATTTAATTGGTTTATATTAGCGCTGTAGAATCAGTTGACATACGAGTATCTTTCTCTAAAATACACGTAAGATATAAGGCCTTTTTACAAAATCATTAGTTTTGTGAAACTGTTAAAGATTTTTTTAGTTGATTAATAGGTTAACATTCGAGAAGCAGGTTTACATTCATATCTTGATTCCAGATTTAACTGAAAATTGTAAGGCCATAAACCAGTTCAAATTTCATATCGGGATCGTATAAAAAAAATTGTATACCGGTACATAAAACTTGTTAAAAATATAAAAGATTAAATGAATTTTACTTAAACTATTTAATCTTATATAATAATATTGATATACAATTTAAATACTTGTATTGTTTTATTCATTAAACTTGTCAGTATCTATTCTAATATTGATATTTTCTACTTTTTACTCTCAATAAATTTAATGTAAGATTAATTCTTTACACTCAAACAATCTATTGTTTTTTAATTAAAAATTAAGTGTCAAAGATGGTGTAAGTTATCCTCTATAACAGTTTTTATAGTAATATACCACATCAAGATGTTTAATATGAAAGAAGATGAAGAATAAAACAATGACACCTATCTTGTTACTTATTCTACCTTTTACTATCAATTAAAGGTGTTTAATTCTTAATGTATTTTATCAAAGCATATTTACTTGGTGTCAATATATCTATAAATATTAGTTTTTAAGATCGAGATAATCTGTTTTACTTCGTGTGGAATATCATGTCAACAGAACAGATTTCCTTTTTACCTTGAATACTGTCAGTATGATGAGATACAGATACTGATATACATATTATAATTCCAGATAGTTTATCAACGTGCTGATTAAATTCCAGGTATGGTGCTGACTGCACACTGAGAATAATTTGATTGACAGGAATGATATTGAGTGTACCTGCATCTTTCACAATTTCACTGATAAGGAACTTCATGATGTACAATTTGATA